AGAGAGAGAGAGAGAAGAAAGAAGTATAAAATAGGACATCTCCATACCACTTGTCACTTTGATTCTGGTGAAATTTATACTAGGGACATGGTTGAAGAGAAAAAGACTGCTTTGTGTCAAGTTAATGCGTCAGACACCACAGAGCATTTAAGTGTCAGAGCAGCAGCTCTGGCGGCAGCAGGCAGGGTCCCCATGCAGGTCCTCCTACCTCTTCCCACACTGCTGTAGCGCACTTGTGATCTTTTTCTTTCTCTCTCTCTTTTTTTTTGAGGTTAAGAATAGAAAATTACAGGATGTGGTGGCAAAAGCCAATAGTTGCAGCATACAGGAGGCCAAGGCAGGAGGATCGCTGTGCATTTGGGTTACATAGAAAGGCTCTGTCTCAAAAGAAAGTAGAAAAAAACCCACATTATTATATTTTATTGTTTTGAAAGAGGGAAAAAATTTTGTAGAAAAAGAATAAAGAGTAGAGCTAGGTATGATGGCGCATGCCTGTAGTCCCAGAACTCGGGAGGCTGAGGCAGGAGAATCATTGTGAGTTCGACACCAGCTTAGGCTACAAAATGAGCTCAGGACCTACCTGAGCTGCATAGGGAAACCCTGTCTCAAAAAGACGAGAGAGAGACAGAGAGACAGAGAGACAGACAGAGAGAGAGAGAGAGAGAGAGAGAGAGAGAGAGAGAGAGATTCCTGAGAGACAGGAGAGGTCCCACATCAGTTGCCTGCCTGTGCTGAATTTTTTATTTATTTATTTATTTTTAAATTTATTTATTTATTTATTTTTTGCGGAACTGGGGATTGAACTCAGGCCCTAGCACTTGCTAGTCCACTGAGCCATCTCCCCGGCCCCCCAGTGCTGAATTTTAAATGAATGTACAGACAAGCACACGGTAGCAGCTGCTGTTGTTGAGGTGCGCTTGTCTCAGAGGCATACAGGTGACCCCGTGAGCCGTCTATAGCTGTCTTGGTGTCCTCTGTCCTCAGTGTCGAGAAGCGCTGACAACTCGCCAGAAGCTGATTGCCCAGGATTATAAAGTCAGTTACTCATTGGCCAAATCCTGTAAGAGTGACCTGAAGAAGTACCGGTGCAACGTGGAAAACCTTCCGCGGTCCCGAGAAGCCCGGCTCTCCTACCTCCTCATGTGCCTGGAGTCGGCAGTGCACAGAGGTGAGGCTTTGTGGGTTTGTGCTCTGGCACTTTTCATACCTTCAAATATCTTTTTTCCTCCTATAGTACTACTACTACTACTACTACTACTACTACTACTACTACTACTTCTTCGTCTTCGTCGTTGTCATCGTCTTCTTTGTCATCTTCATCTTCCTCCTCCTCCTTGTCCTCTTCTTCTTCTTCTTTTTTTCTTCTGAGTACTTTTTATTTTTTATTTTTAAATATTTTTGGGTACCAGGGATCAAACTCAGGACCTTGCACTTGTCAGGCAGGCACTATACCACTGAGCAGCTAGCTCCCTTAATTTTTGAAATGCATATTATGTTGTATGGTTAAGAGGTGAGGTGCTGGCCAGGGAGATGGCTCAGTGGAATAAGCGCTTCCCTGGCAAGTGCAAGGATCTGAGTTCAATCCCTGGTTCCACCAAAAAAAACCCAACCAAACAAACAAACAAAAAAAACCATTTCCTACCCATCAGAGAAAACACAATTAAAAAAAAGAGGTGAGGTGCTATAATTTAGTGTATCAGTTTGTGGTCGGAGAGACTTAATTTCAGGTTTAGGGCTCTAGCTCTAAACTACCTGGCTAGCTGGCCACTTTTTTATAGTTTTGTTTATTGGTTTTAATTTCCCTTTTAGGTTTTCCTGGTTGGCATTTATAGCTTAAAGGAGCTGAGACATAAAGTGATTATTTGAAGTGCAGTCTTTTTCCACAGGCCAAAAGTCCAAGTAGGCCAATAGAGATTGTTCTAGTTGGCTTTCATCGTGACCTCCATTGTTCCTACTGATGACTTCTGGGGCCAGTGTGTTGATGCATGCTTGTAATCCCAGCACTCTGAGGCTGAGGCAGGAGGATCACTGTGAGTTTTGAGGCCAACCTGGGCTACATGCTGAGTTCAGGCCCAGCCTGAACCACACAGCGAGACATTGTCTCAAAACTTCTGGGCAGCTGGGGATGTAGCTCAATGTCTGAGTGTGTGTTTAGCATCCATGAGACCCTGGATTTAGTCCCCAGCACATCCTGGATCAAAAAAGATTTCCAGTAGCAAAACATTTGCATTCTTAGTTTTGTAAGAGTATAAAATCTGTGTAATGCAGAACATTGGCAGGACAAACCTGAGTCTGGAATTTAAGCCCACATTGTGCTGCAAAGGCTTTTACCAATGCTAAGCTTTTCAGCTGGAGTAGTAACATTCCAGACAGAAGTAGATACTTTCATCCTCTGCCCTCTTCCTGATGGTGTGACTTCCTTACCTCAGGGCGACAAGTGAGCAGTGAGTGCCAAGGCGAGATGTTGGATTACCGACGCATGCTGATGGAAGACTTTTCTTTGAGCCCTGAGATCATCCTGAGCTGTCGGGGGGAGATTGAACACCACTGTTCTGGACTGCATCGGAAAGGGCGAACCCTGCACTGTCTGATGAAAGTCGTTCGAGGGGAGAAGGGAAACCTTGGCATGAACTGCCAGCAGGCGGTAAGGGAAACAGTTCTGCTGCTACCTTGACTATCACTTTGTTGTTGTTGTTGTTGTTGTTGTAGTACAGAGTCTCACTGTGCAGCTTGGACTCGTAGTGATCCTCCTGTTTTCAGCCTCTCCAGCACTGGGGTTACAGGTGTGTGCCACCATCCCTGGACTCAGCTCCTGGCTCAGTGTGCCCAGGGGCTGGGCCGGTGCCACATGCAGTACCATTGATCGAACCCCAGTCCCTGCGCTTGCCTAAGCAGGCGCTTAGTCCGCTGAGCTGTCTTGCCAGCCCTATCTCTTTTTTTCTGAGATAGGATCTCACTTTGTAGTTCAGGCTGATCTTAAACTCACTATGTAGGCCTGGCTGACCTTGAACTCTGTCCTACCTCAGCTTCCCAGAGCACTAGGATTATAGCCATGTGCCACCACATCTGATTTGACTGTCATTTTATCAGCTAAGCAACTTCTTCCTGAAACTATTCTAGCTTCTTTTCTCTGAATCATTTCTGACATCATGGTGAAGATCAGGTACTAAGGATAAGAAACATCCCTCGCCAAAAACAATTGTCTGATTTAATTGGTTTCATTGAATTCAGGCTGAAGAGAGTTCACATGGGTTGAAATTTTCTAGAGGTTCTTTTATTATTGATGTGCAGCATGACCTCTAGGATCAAAGAAGCACATCATTTTCTTTCTTTCTTCTTTTTTGGTTGGTTTGTTTTCTGTTTTTTTGAGTCATGGTCTTGCTAAATACTCTCTTCAAGGGTTTTGCCTTGAACTCTCTGTGTAGCCCAGGCTGGCTGTGAACTCACAGTGATCCTGACACGTGCTCCTGGCAAGCAGCCCTGGCTGGAATGCACTAGGAAACTTCCGTGCCGGCACACATGCCTGGGCGGTCCCAGACCACAATGGAGTCAGCAGCCAGCCTGTGCCGTGCGTGCCTTTCCTCCTTGATTCAGCGCAGGAGAATTGTGGAGGGAGGTCAGAAATAAACCTGTCTTTTTACTCAGCCTACACCTGTAGTAAAATGTCAGAAAAAGAAAATAAACTGGCTTGGCTTTATATTTTGAGGCATCTAGTTCACTCCCAGGGCTTTTAAAAATTTAGCTTTTTGAAGAACGAGTGACTCAGCTTACAAGATAAATAAGTACTGCTCACATCACCCTTTGTGCCCAGAAGGAAGTGCTTTCCATACCTGAGAACAGCTTGAAATAGTTAGCTAACTGGCGGTGCCTGTGCTAAGACTAACCAGTGGGAAAGGAGCACTTCTTTATGGGCCCGTGGTCTTAGCTTTCACATTGAAATAGAGAGCATCTCTCCAAAGGGAGAATAATCTCAGCTTGTTGTCTTCTGTATTATTAATCCTTGATTAAATTGAATGTGCTGATTTTTTGGTACTAGGGATCAAACTCGGGACCTTGTACTTGCCAGGCAGACACTGCCGCTGAGCTATATCCCCTGCCCTGAAATAATTTATTTTGAGTAGGTTTCTTACTTTTCAAGTTTTCTTCTTGTCAGTGATTTACCATGCATTTTCTTTTTTTTTTTCTACTTGAATTGATTTATTGATCTGCTTATTTTTTGTTGTTGTACTTTTAGTAAGGGTCTCACTGTATAGATTGGACTCATGGTGATCCGCCTGTGTTCAGCCTCCCAAAGAGCTGGGATTACAGGCATGCGCCACCATGCCCAGTCTCAATTGCTATCTCAATATGCCCCAGGGGTGGGGCTAGTATGGTGGCATGCCCATGCCCGGGATCGAACCCCTGTCACCTGCCTGCCTAAGCAGCTGCTTTAATCTGCTGAGCTATTTGGCCAGCCTTAAAATGTGATTGGCCTTTATTTGTTGCTGTTTTGTTTCTGTTTTTGTTTTTGTTTTTTTTAGGAGGGGTGGAAGGTATCAGGAATCAAACGCAGGACCTTGTACTTGCCAGGCAGGCACTGTACCGCTAAGCTAAACCTCTGGTCCCTTTTTTAAATGTTTTTGAGACAGGATTTCGCTGTGCAGCTCAGACTGACCTTGAACTCACTTTGTAGCCCAGGCTGGCCTTGAATTTGCAGCATTCCTCCTGCTTCAGCCTCCCATGTGCTGAGATTATAGGCATGTGCCGCCTCACCTGGCCTGGTAATCTGCCTTGACTTAGTGATCTCAACCAATAGTAAACTGGGAAACATAAGGATAATTACCTTTTGAGTGTATACTTTTCCACAAATTCATGGCAATCATGAAATATAAGTTCTCTTCAGTTACCCCCAAGTGAGTTCAGCCCAATCATTCCGTGGCCTGATCATTTCTCCAAAGCTTTCTTCTTGGCTTCCTGAGTGTATCGGGCTAAATAGATGCACAATCTTGTAGAAGTTCATCTTTCCTGTGTGCATTTCCCACACTCTTGTCACTGAATCCCAGAGTGGTAATGATCCCTTGAGCCCTTAGCCTGTTCGGCTATATTTTTAACTGTCAGTACTAGCTGCAGTCCCACACACTCAGCATGAGTTCTAATCACTGCCCTGTCAGCAATGGAGACAGAACCATCCTTGCAAACATGCACAGACTCTTATTTTGCCTCTTCACTGTCCTCAGAAAAGATGTAGCTATTTTGGTCTTTTTTGCCAGATGTCATAGGTAGCATTGATTATCATTTTGCTTGTATAATCTTCCTACCAAATAACTCACAGCATTTTGTAGTTTCTTCAGTTTGTCATCAAGAATCGTTATAGAGAACTTCCATCCCATAATATAGAAATCTTAATTATACCTCTTTTGACTGTTGACTTCTTTTGGGCTAGATAATAGAATTGGGAGGCTGGGTATGGTGGCACATGCTTAGGAAGATTATTGCAAGTTTGAGGCCAGCCTGGGCTACAAAGTGAGTTAAGACTAACCTATATGGTGAAACCCTGTCCCAAAAAGAAAGACAGACAGACAGACAGACAGTTGGGCTTTTCCTTCCATTCCTTTGATGTGCAGTCTGTGACAACTATGTGAAAAGAGTAGGCCTTCTAATGAGCACTGTTGTGATGGCAGGTCAGATGAGTGCAGATCACAGGGGGCTTCCAGAGAGGATAAGCCAGTGATACAAAAAGGACCACAGTTAGTTAGCTTGGGAAAAAAGAACTCAAAACAGTAGGCATTATAGCAAGGGCCTGAATTCAATCCCTGGTGTCGCAAAAAAAACAAAACAAAACAAAACAAAAAACAGTAGGCATTAGAGTTTTCAATTTTTTTTTTTTCTAACATTTAAAATTTCCACCCAAAACACTTTCTGCCTCCCGTTATGGAGTATTATTTCTTGTAATCTGTAGTTTAGAAAATAAAAATTAGAGGTTAAACAACTTGTCTGCATTTTTAAAGTTAATACCAGGCAGAGCTGGAACCATTAATAGAACTTGAACTTTCTGACGTTTAATTTAGGGCCCAGGGAGATAGCTCAGTAGAATAAGCGCTTGCCTGGCAAGCTCAGGGTCCTGAGTTCAATCCCCGATACCACAAAAAAAAAAAAAGAATGACCTTTAATTTAAAACTTTTCCTTTGTGCCTCACATCCCAAATCCCTTCTCAAAGACAAGAGACTCTGAGGTGCCTTTTCTTTTCTTCCCAATTGCTGAAATTGCAGATGTATGCTGCTTCACCCTTCTCACCTTGTTTTGTTTTGTTTTACTTTATTTCATGGCAGAAGTTGGACCAAGCAAAACTACATAATAAAGATTCTATCTTCACATGTAGTGGCATGGACCTATAATCCCAGCATTCTGGGAGGCTGAGGCACAAAGATCTTCATGAGTTTGAGGCCAGGCTGGGCTACCTAGTGAGATCCTATCTGCCTACACCCACGACCCCCCCCCCCCCCCCAAAAAAAAGACTACATCCTCAACTGAGTGGAATGGTGCATGTCTGTAATCCTAGCACTTAGGAGGTTGAACAAGTTTGAGTCACACCTGGGCAATTTTTATTTATAGTCTTTTTTTAAAAAAAAATATGTATTTTGTACAGGGCCTCCCTGTACAGCTTACACTTGTGGCAATCCTCCTGTTTTAGCCTCCCCAGAGCTGAGATTATAGGCATGTGCCACCATGTCCGGTTTCAGTGGCCAGCTTGGCTCAGGGCCACCATGGCATTCAGTACCGGGGACTGAACCTTTGTTGCCACTTATGCTTGCCAGGCAGGTACTTAGACCACTGAGCTATCTCTCTGGCCCTATTTAGTGTTTTTGAGACAGGGTCTCACTTTCCAGCCCATGCTGGTCTCGAACTTGCAAGGACCCACCTGCCTCAGCCTCCTGAGTGCTGGAATTACAGGGGTGTACCACTGTGCCTGGAACACCTGGGCAATTTAAGGAGACCTGTTTCAAAAGAATTAAAAAGGGCTGGGAGGCAGATGAGTGTAGAGCACCTCTGGGTTTGATCCCAGGTATCACAAACAATAAATGTGTGTATCCTCAATTTTAGTTTCATAATATTAGATAAACATTTTTCTGTACAGTTACATGCACAAGTTGTGATTTACCTCTTGACTGTACAAAAATAGGAAATTACAGGTACAGTGGACCCTCAAGTTATGATCTGCCTGACATCTGAACAACGTGGGTTATGACCTGCATTTTGATCAGGTTTATTTTATGAACTTATGGTGAAAGGCTTGAGTTATGATCCAAATGCTGGTCTCAGATACAGACTTAACCCGTAACGAGTTCTTTTTTTTTTTTTTTAAATAATTTTTTTAATTATTTATTTATTTTTATTTATTACATTCCGTAACGAGTTCTGGAAGGACTTTGCAACATCCTTTCTCATATGGGGTTAATTGCGAAATACTGGGCTGATGTTTCTCTAAGAACACTGAGGTCTGCCTGTGTGCAGGAGAGAGAGACTTTGAAGGCTGTGTAGAGGAGCCTGAGCAGCTGAGAGCTGGAGTTACAGCCAGCCCTCAGGACTGAACTGAGTTTCTATGTCAAGGGTCCACTGTGTTCCCATTTTCAAATTGTTTCTGCAGGTTCAGTGAAATCGAGTACATCTGCTTTTATTTTTATTGTATTATTTTTTTTCCATCTGCTTCTTTTTGTTTTTTGTCTTTTTTTTTCCCCCGGAACCGGGGATTGAACTCACAGGCCCTTGCGCTACTGAGCCATCTCCCCGACCCCTTTCTTTTCTTTCTTTCTTTTTTTTAAAGGTCAAATGGTCCTTTTTTTTTAATTTTT